AAGAAAAAGAGTGAAAAACAGATGGACAAAGAGAGAAAGAGAGAGACTTAGAGCATAAGATATTATTGATCAGGTATTTTTTAGACTTACAATTGTCCCCCTTTGTCCCAGAATATGACTCCAAATATAATTCCAATGATGGCCGTCATAAAAAACCTGATGGAATTATACTGAGGATGCCTCCAGTAAGATAAATGCTGTTTCCAAAAGCACGCTTTGCATTGATTAATGAAAGACTGAGCGAATTGGGTTGGGAAATATAGATCTTCAGACCCTGGTGCTGGCAAGCTAAGTTGTTTAATTAGTTCTTCATTCCTCCTGTGAAGGCATGAGATAAAGAGATCTTAGAAAGGCTTGGTCATAATAAAAAGGAAAAACAAAATGAACAAAAAACAAAAATATCATTTCATGTTCGCGTAACCTACCGGTAAAGATCAGAGTTATTATAAATTTGAGCAAAATCAACGTTCAGTTGAGCTTCCATAGCAGGAGTTGTAACATCCAGCATCCAAGTGGCAGGATTGTAGCTTCCTTAATCTCAGGAACTCCAGGCACAGACTGTAGTATACAAATAACAACATATCATCACTATTCAGCTCAGGCCCAAAAATCAGGTCTGCAGAATGTATTTAATAATAAACTCACCTGAAAGTATTCTACTAATAGATGAGAATGATGTCCAAGAGGCACAGCATAAATAACTTGTCCTCCTCTCTTCATCAGCAACAGCTACACACAGTAAGAATTACGAGACACTCGTGAAAAACTGCCATAAATTTTTCCCCAGGAAAGTTCCGATTTTGTAATTATCAAAAATATATTTTTTAAAAAAAAGTATTTAACTACCTCGTCAAAAGCCTCGAAAATATCTATGCTCGGTTGATGGATGGTGCAGACAATCGTGCGGCCAGTGTCGACTGTGTTGCGAACCGTGCGCATGACTATGGCAGCTGCTCGGGCATCGAGTCCAGAAGTTGGCTCGTCCATGAATATTATGGACGGGTTAGCAACGAGTTCAACTGCTATCGTGAGCCTCTTCCTCTGCTCTGTCGAAAGGCCATCAACTCCAGGAAGACCCACTAAGGCATTTCTCAGGGGATTCAGCTCGATCAGCTCCATCACTTGTTCAACAAACATCTGACAAAANAAGCATTAGAAGTCTAAGGGTGTGTTTGTTTATAAATTATTTCAATTCATCTGAACTTTAACTCAACCCCACGATCTTCAATATTATCAGTATAATAAAATAATATCAACCAATCATTCGTACATATCACATCAACTTTAATTCACTATTCATCCACTCACATTACTGCACATCATCTCTCTCATACTTTTGCATCAAATCAATTTTAATTATTTTATTTTAAATATTATTTTAATATAAACTCAAAATCTCACTAAAAACTAACCATACCAACTTTTTCTAAATTAACCTTGGTTAACCAAAAAAACTCGTTTTTTAGCGGGATATATTTATATACAAGCACGCCTAGGATATTAGTTTTCATTTTAAAAGTTTCCAAAGAAAATATAAGCAAATATCATGAATCACGGTTAAGCCACCATACCTTGCGAGTTTCCTTGTCGACATCCGGAGAAAGACGCAACCAGGCAGAGTACACAATCGACTCATACACAGTCACGTGGGGAGAATGTATATCAGTCTGTTCACAGTAGCCGCTTATTCGGGTAAAAGTCGACTGATTCTTGGGATAACCAGAAATGTTTATACTGCCCTCGATAATTCCACCCGTCTTTCTTCCCGCCAAAACATCCATAAGGTTCGTCTTGCCGGCCCTACTCACGCCGACTAGTGCAGTCAACACTCCAGGCCTGAAGGCTCCACTAACATCTCTCAACAGTTGAAGACGAGTTTCTTCAATCCCACTCTTTTTCATTTCCTACAAGTTAAACAGATAATCTATTATTGTTGTTGCTTCACTACCCAAGTATCATTATTCAATAATATGACATCATTTCAAAGGAAAGAAAGAAAAAAATAAGTATAGTTGCTGAGTAACAAAATGGAGTTCAAAGTTGTATAGTCAGGTTAAGAATTGTTATCCTATTCTTGTAGCTCTTCTTAAGATTTTTGCATCACATATTAGTGCGCTGGCTACATTTCATGAATGTCACAAGTCAGTTGGTTTCTAAAGTCAATTTAAAATTTTCCAGAATTTAGAAAATGAAAGATTTATCAATTCTGTAATAACTTGAGATCATTATACAAAGAAATAAAAATAAAAAATAAAAAAATGATTAAAATGGGGTTCAAAGTTGTATAGTCAGGTTAAGATTTGTTATCCTATTCCTGTTGCTCTTCTTAAGATTTTTGCATCACATATTAGTGCACTGGCTACATTTCACGAATAGACAGTCACGAGTCAGTTGGTTTCTAAAGTCAATTTAAAATTTTCCAGAATTTAGAAAATGAAAGAGTTATCAATTCTGTCTTTTGCTGAATAACTTGAGATCAGTATACAAAGAAATAAAAAATAAAAATAAAATTGATTAAAATGGAGTTCAAAAGTTGTATAGTCAGGTTAAGAATTGTTACCCTATTCCTTTTAACTCTTTTCAAGATTTTTGCATCACATATTTGTGCACTCTGGCTATATTTCATGAATAGACAGTCACGAGTCAGTTGTTTTCTAAAGTCAATTTAAAATTTTCCAACCTATCAAACTTCCACTTGGAATTTATGACACCTAAGAAAATGAAAAGATTTATCAATTCTGTCTTTTGTCATATATGCATCTTGTCCTTTACAAAATGCAGCAGAATTTTATAAGAAGTTCATGACATAAACTCTGCTATTACAGTTCATGAGCAGTTAAAATGCATTAAGTATTGCGAAAAATTGACTTACAAAAGGCATATCAACATAGTAGTTCACATGATCAAATGCTAGTGACAATGGAGTGAATGGGAGCACCATTCCCTTCTTCGCATTTGCAGTTTCTGCTCGGCTGCTTCCTTCAGAATCACTCTTAGTAGGCATGCAGTTGCCTGTAATATTTAATGCTCGTTAACATTTAGAATGGATTGCAATGATGGAAAATAGAAAGTTCCCACAAATGAAATAGTTACCGATGAATGTTTAATACCAATGAAGGCCGAACAACAATCCACAACCATGGTATATCATTCAAAATTTGCATTGTTAATAATTACGATTACCATTGAAGTGAAGATATAAAATGGATTAATTGTGTAAAAACTTACATTTACACATATGGTTAATGTTAATAAGCCAATTAAGATCTCTCTGTTAAAAGTACATTCCTAGAGAAAACTTAAATAATCTCAGGTGATCAAAGTGTGAAAAAAGAGAAAGAGCAGACAGAAACAATGGCATACTTTATTAAAAAAAACATAATTAAATCACATATGATCTCAAACCTCCATTTTTGGGACCTGACGAGGCTGCAGTTCTACTATCAGTGTTCGAATTTTCTGAGACGGCAAGATTCTTTTTCTTCTTGTCATTGTCATCCGCAGTAACAGACCTTGAATCTCCGAAAGCTATGCATAAATGAGATATACGGCCAAAATCAGGAACAAGATTACAGAAAATAATCTAAGTAGAAACATAAGATCAAAACTCTTACGGTTCAGATACGAGAGTGCAATAATGAAGCAGATGTTGAAGAAAATCGAGAATGCAAATAGAGCAGCAACGCATATCCAGTACATATAATCCTCTGTAAACATTCCCCTCATTCTCATAAAAGCCTTGCCAACTGTTGGTTCATTAAATCTGCTGTCGGGGTTTGGCTGAAAAGAAAATAACATCAGATATGAGATCAATATGTAAGTTATGAAAATGTGAGAATTGTTGTGTCAAATTTCGAAATAAGATTCTAGACGTTCATAAGATTTTCCTAAAGCAAGCACATCCAAATGTCCTCTTGGTTATTGCAAACACTCAAAAGATTATTAAAATAAGTACCTACAGAGCTCCATCTTTTATCCAAAAATTCGTTGATGGCTATAGCATTCTGACCATACATCATGGGAGAAACATAGTAGCCCCAGATCATCCATGGCTCGATGTCATCTGATGCATATGGAAATGATTTAAGTCAAACTCACAGAGAGATACAAACAAAGGAATTTTTATTTTTTTTTATTTAATAGAAAGAAAGAGTGCAAAGTGTGATATTCAATAACAGCAGAGTTAACTAACCTCTGGCATTAATAAAACCACCAAGAACAAAGACCATCAGCAAAGTGAAAGTACCCAAAGTGTTTGCAACCACCTGTGTTCGTCCAAGTGCGGCAATAAATCTGAATAGGGACAAAGCCATCTGATGCAGTGCAAAAAATGCCAGCAATTGGCGGAAAAATCTGAAAAAAAAAATGGTAATAACACCAAGTCAGTATAGACAAGTTTATCCACTAACATGCTAATACATCATGAAAACCAAGAACCAAAAAAAAAAATTAAAAGAAAGTTAAAATAATTTAGATGAGAATCACAATCACACGTGCCTGTCAGCCCCAGGAGCGAATCCAATAGTATAATAAGTAAGAACAATCCATATCAATGATTCCATAAGCGAAAGCGGGATCCCCACAAGCCAAATTGGCAAGGAAAAAGCCCAAGCAGGATAAAACAGAGCATCCCTTTGCTTAAAAAACACGGGAAGCCTAAGAACTGTCAGAGCAAGCTCTGCTGTGCCATTAAACATCACATTAATGAGGCTGAAAAACAATGCACCGTAAAATTTCCCTCCATCCACCAACTGCCCGGACCTCATTTCTGTTCTGAAAAACACCATGAATGTACTTATCGACATTATAGTTATCTGGAAAGTCTTGAATATATACAAGAAAGAATTCCGCTTCATCAGAAGCCATTCCCGGGACAAACACGCCCTGAAAAGCTCCATGTTCGAAATCCCATATTTTTCAGTGACCAATGCAGCTGGATGGACTTTCGATCTATCATACGGTACTGCCAGTTCATCACAAAGGCTCTGTCCAATATGGAAGGATCTGAAGTGGTCCACAAACTCTTCCACCGAAATATATCGGTAAGGCTCATTTTTCTTGAACCAGTATTGCTCTTGGTCTTTTACTGAGGTGACTTCTTGTAAAAAGTCGGCTACACCTTTCCTCTCCTCTCTGGACACTTGAACCCAACACTCTCGAAAAACTCGAGGATGCTTTCACGAGAACCCTGGTAGACAATTTTACCTTCCACGAAGGACGACGAAGTATTACAGGTGAAATTCCGTACTTGCAATCTCTACTTAACTGCTTACAAACCATTTGAGATCCAAAAGTGAAAGGAGCTCCGTGTACAAAAAAAGGATAAATGGGCTTTGCCTGATTCTGAAGCAGACCGAATTGCCATATGTTCAGACTATAAAAGTCTTCTAAGTCATGGGAAGTATAAGAATGTCGAAGATATAATGATCAGCAAGTCCACTTTAGAAAATGCCGTGTATACTCTAGGCAAGAACAACCATGACACGAAAGAGATAGCTCGAACTATTTTACAACTGTTGTTGTACTTGCCGAAGAGTGCTCGCTTTTTGCGAGTAAGAAATTAATGCAGAGATAGCATAGGTAAATTTGTTGGCTGTCAAATCAAATTGGAAAGCGTAATAGCATATTTCTTCAGCAACTCATGCTTTCCAATTTGATTTGGGAGCCAACAAATTTACATATGCTATCTCTGCATTGATTTCTTACTCGCTTTTTAGCGAGCGCTCTCCGGCAAGTACAACAACAGTTGTAAAATAGCTCGAGCTATCTCTTTCGTGTCATGGTTGTTCTTGCCTAGAGTATAGGCGGCATTTTCTAAAGTGGACTTGCTAATCATTATATCTTCGACATTCTTATACTTCCATGACTTAGAAGACTTTGTACTCTGAACATATGGCAATTCGGTCTGCTTCAGAATCAGGCAAAACCCATTTACCTTTCTTTTGTACACGGAGCTCCTTCCACTTTTGGCTCTCAAATGGTTTGTAAGCGGTTAAGTAGAGATTGCAGGTACGGAATTTCACATGAACCCAACACTCTCGAAAAAGCTCGAAAGTTTCGGGCGCAGGTTGGAGGAGGGATATTATCATGGTCACATCCATGATGTGAATCATCTGCCTCATGTACTTAACAATTTGAAAAGTAGTCGAGCTGTCGAGACCGGTCGATATTTCATTCATGTAGAAAACTTTCGCTGGTCCCACCAACATTACACCTATTACATCAGCCCAAAAATAAGTTAACAATCATAATAACTAACAAATTCACCAACAATTTCATAGATTCTGTCATAAAATTACCGGTCGTGAGCCGCTTTTTCTGTCCACCTGATATTCCCCATCTCATCTCATCTCCAACCAATATATCAGCACATATATCCAAAACAAGAATCTGCAATCATGATAAAAAATAAAAAAAAAACAAAAAAAAAGGGATCTCAATAGCATAAGACAGCATTTTTCTTTGATCAGCCATTTTGACATCTTAAGTGAAAGAGGATATCAACAAATACAAACCTTGAGCACATAGTGTGTTACTAGACTTGATTCTTGGCCAACTACAGCTGTGGCTTTCATGAATGCATCGATTTCAGGGTCCGGTTTAATCCCGGACTCTTTTTCTCGCCTTGCTAATTCAACAAGAAGGTCGTATCGAATTCCGACACCCAAACAACGTCCTGAAAAATTTAATGTCTCCCTCACAGTCATCTCTCCATGGTGAAGATCGTGTTGGCTTATGTAAGAGCATGTCCTCTGGGGAACGAATTCCATGAGCTCGTGACCACAATAGGCGACTTTTCCATTTACCTACCATTTAAAGGGGAAAAAAAAGGAAATATATCTTCTGGGATGAGGCTACGGAAAGACGAAAAATGTATGATAATAACAAGTTGAAGTTTCAATGCACCTTAAGATCATTATCGAGCTTTCCTGCAAGAGCCTTTAGCAGTATAGTTTTTCCAGCGCCTGGAGGCCCGAGAAGTAGTGTCATTCTATAAAATGAGCAAGAGAATTAGGCGAGGTATGCATTTTCATCAGGTTGGCCAGCTGTATGTGTAAACATATACATGTTCCTGCTATAAATGTTAACTAACATCCCTAGCCATCACACTAAGGTTGAGATATATTCCATATTTCTTTGTGTTATTCTTATTTGCCTTTCAGAGCTAGGCACGTAAAAACCAGTGTCAATTTGAAAGCCAATTTGCGTTTCTACAGAGTTTCCATAAAACGAACCTCGAAGGTTTCACGATGCCGCTAACATCAAGTATACCGACAGCCTTTTTCTTTGAAGGGATGATCCTCACTTTCTCAAGAATCCCCTGTAGACAAGAAAATGGAAAAAAGTCCTAACTGTAAGTTGAATATTCATTGTATGCAATGATACTTCAAAAAAGAAGAATACCTCCTCGAGTTACAACGATGATTCATATAAAAACAAAACAAAAGCTAAGATGGGGAAATAAATTAAAAGATTTACTACTGATGCACTAATACACAATTATCTCATCAATATTTTAATGGAGCATACAGTAATAGCTTGGAACCAAATAATCTGATCAAGAACCAGATTCCAAATACCTCTATCACATTTAATGTTGAGTTCAACAGAGTTGAAAGAGCCCTCGACCCAACATGTGTGTCTCCCGTGATAGAGAGATGCTCATAACGAACTTCCACTTTCGGAATATCAATTCCAACCCTATTAGCCACAACACACACACACACACACAAAAAAAAATGGAAAAACAAAACATATTCATTAACTCATATACTATTACAAATCAGAAACGAGGAAAACACAGTAACACAAAACATAGAGCAAAACGAGATTTGAGTTTTACCGATCAGTTCTATCTCTGAGGCTGCGCAAGAACCTCTCGTTATCATCATCGACAACTCTGAGTATGCTCTCCATGAGGCGCTTCTTTTGTTGGTCCCCAAGATGTGTGAAATCGACTTCCTCACGAACCACCTTTCCATCTTCCAACACTTTCTTCAGAACCCCTTTTCTCGTACGGTCATAAGTTGGGAGCCGTTCAATGGCTGCCCAAATGAGCTCTTCTTGATCATCATATTCTCTGCCAGTCCTCCCAAAGGTGTCCTGCCCAGGTGCAGTGAAAACCTCCCTCACACTAGCCGAGGCCCAGCTACTCGATCTAAGGGAGCCCAAGCTCATGTGCCGGCTGCTAGTAATTGCAGCCATTTTTTTTTTTTCTACAAATTGGTCTCGATTTGGCTTGATATATATGGATGTTGATAATTCATGATTCCCTCTGCTTCATGAATCTCCCTTCGTCCTGTTTACAACATGCATAAAATTCAACCACCCTATGCTAGTTAGATGCTTTAAATGTGTGAAGAAAATGGACATACAGCCTTACAGGACAGTGAGACCATAAAAGGGCTAAGAGAAACTCTACGATGGCACAATTGTTAGAATATACACTTTGAGTTAGTCCCATATCATGGAGTCGTCAATTTCAATAGTGTGGAGTTGGTCGTTGGTTGACAGGAAGGCTGAGCTGTAGGCTGAGATGGGGTCAACAGGAAAGGACGGGTCCTCGGAGAGTTTTTGGATAAGCGTGTCCTTGACGAAAGACGAGCACTGGGCCCCACAAACGCCGTGCCCGTCGAAAAACCCAAAGAAATGGATGTTAGGGTTGCCCTGAACGGCGGTCTTCACGCAGTAGCTGTCCTGATTCTCCTTGTCGAGGGCGTCAGGGTAGTATCCGGGTGGCTGAGGGCGGCGTCAGACAGTCGGAGATTGTAGGACGGGACGTGCACGGCGTCCAGGGGTACGTTGTCGGAGGGCCCGCGGGCGTTGTACGGGCTGGGATAGACGCCCGGTTCGTCTTCCTCGTTGTCGGCGTCTGTGGTGGGCGAGCAAGTCCTGCAGCATTCGACTTGAATGCAACCCATTTTGCGCAGCAGAAATTGAGGAGGAATAAACTCACTCTCGCGCATCAATTGCTCGGAAAAAGTCCCGAGAGAAATCTAGGCACGAAATGGCTGCTAAACCCAAGGAGATAGAACACAAGATGAGATTTGTGCAAGAGAAAACCCAGGGGGAGGTTTATTCTTGAACACATGGAAAAAGAAAAGGTTTCTTGATTTTCGATTGGAAAAATCTGGTGAATGGAATAACCCAATCAGCAAGAAATGACGACGGAGATAAATGCGGAACTGAATATTGGTGGTAGATCTAAAATAAGGAATCTATATAGAGCCAATAGATTTATTTTTTTTTCTTTTTCGAAACGATAGAGATTTTATATATAAATGAATCAAATGTACAAAGGTTAACCACCAGCTGAATAGAGTGGGAGGACAGTCAATGACTGCCTAGAGCCGACGACCCCAACGGGGTAATACATATGAACACAAACAACACTAACACACGAAAACAAGAAGAAACTAAGAAACTAAGGGTGTGATTGTTTATGGATTCAAGTAGTTTTTATTTGGTTTGTCTTTTAACTATAGTTAATTTTAAAAAAATGTGGTATAGTTAGTTGTTAGTGGATATATTAAATAATATTTAAAAATAATAATTAAAGTTGATTTGATGTAAAGTAAGAGAAAAATGATTGGAAGTGATAGTTAGTTAAAATTATGTGAGTGGATGAATAGTGAATTAAAGTTGATGTAATGTGTAAAAATGATTGTTTGATATTATTTAATTATATTGATAATATTGGAGATAGTGATGTTGAGTTAAAGTTGAGTTAAATTTAAATTTTGATTAATTTTTTTACTATTCAAACCATATCCAATTGCCCCCTAAAAGGACCCCAACAGGGTAATACCCGAGCGTCGGCTCCCAATAGGAGAATAAATTGACACTCAGGCTCACAGAGGCCAACAGCCCAAACCAAAAACACATCAAAACAACACACAAAATCACGAAACGATCAATAAAACAAAACAACACAACACAACACAACAAAAGCACAAATTAAAGGAGCCTTTCCTAAGCAGCAACACCGAACCAAACCAATGGAAACAAGTCAACCACGGATCCCGTAGCTAGAAGCATCAGCTAGATCTAAAATAAGGAATCTTATCAGTCTTCTTTTCGATCCAAATCGGAAGAATTGGATATTCTCGATTTGGCATACCTCTTAAAGTGCATGAAGTTCATCTTGTGAGATAAATCAAGCTAGCCCCTTCGCAGAGTTTATTCAATATACTCGATATAGTCAAATTATTAATTAATTAGCAAATAACCAAAATATAATTACAAAGCAATTTCAAAATTAAGTATTATATAACCACATTACAAATCACCAATTGATAAAAATGCAATATACAAACAAACAAATATGAAAAAAATATAATAAGAACAGATTAACCTGAAAAAAAAAACGTGTGAATTACATAAAGTAAATTTTTGTCATGACAAGATAGAAGAAGTGTTATTTGCACAAGTTTAAAAGTCAACGTGAATCATAGGCAATTTATTGTGTTTGTTAAAATTTTTTCATATCAAGTATTTATGAAATTGATCTATACTTTGTTCTTCATCCTGTATAAATTCTGTGTAGATCGATGTTGTCTACTCATCCTGCTTTCGATTTAATTTTTTATTATACAAATATACGATTTATACTTATTTAATTCAATTCAACATGAGATGTGCATTCAATCTGATCAAAGATGTCACTAGAACTAAAAAGCTACATATAATGTTGCGTACGATTCAAATAATTGGACACAAATTTGATTTTGAATACAAAAATTACTTAGAAATCTTATTTCATGATGAGGACTTCCGTCAAATCCTCCAGTTATTTCAAAGAGAAGCCGTACGAATATTGTGAATGTTCCAATTAATTCTTCTAACGTATGGGCTGATTGTACTGTGTTGAGGCTTAAAAAAAATATGTGCCTTCAGAGCATTGGTGATTCTGATGAATGCAAGGGGCAGATAATTTTACTAATTAGATAGTGAGCATCAAATATAGAACCATTGAGGGATCCAAGGATGAATGTGCCTTATTAGACATACCTGATGATATATTGTTGAAGGCCACTAATGATCTTATCGCTGCAATAGTTGAGAGTACCTATCCAATATTTAAAGATGCAAGCGATGATCTCAATTATTTGAACGATAGAGCTATACTAGCTCCAGCGTTAGAGGTGATTGAGTCTATGAATGAATAATGACGTTTTTGAACTTGAAACTATTTTTGCAACTTATCCGAATGTGCTTGTGGAATTTGAGAGGAGGTGTCTTGGTCTTTGAGAGTCATTTTTGGTGCTTGATTGTTGAGGTTTTGAGGTGGCCGGATGACCTTGGTGATTGGTTGTTTGGATGGGAATGGCCGCTGGCTGTGATCTATGTTGCTCTAGGTGCTAGCGCCGCTAGCACAGGGCCTAGCGCCGCTAACTTAGGCCTAGCGTCGCTAGAAAGGCTCCAGGTACTAGCGCCGCTAACGCTCAAAGCCTAGTGCCGCTAAGTGCCTTAGTGAGCAACTGAGGCTACCGCACTTTTGAGACTAGCGCCGCTAGTGTCGGATAGCACCGCTACGCCCGACTCGTTCTGCACGTGCCACGACAACACTAGCGTCGCTAGCTCCAGCCTAGCGGCGCTAACCACGACTAGCCCAGCGTGCACCACGTTAACACTAGCACCGTTTAGCGCCGCTAGCTCCGACTCGTCCTGCGTGTGCCACGACATCACTAGCTCTGCTAGCTTCAGCCTAGCGATGCTAGCCCCGACTTTGAGCATATTTGTTTTGGCGGGTTACCAATACCACGTCACCCCTAGCGGCGCTACCGGCGCTAGATCCGACTCCAGTGAGGCTTCATGAGCGTGGCTCGTACACGTGTGCGCTCCGACGTTAAGACTACCGAGCCGACGTGATGTAGAGCTCGGGGGATCCGTTTGCATTTTCTTTGCATTTTGTTTCTAGTGACTTTTGAGTGACCAACCGACTTGTGGTTGGCCTCGTATATCTTTATCTTGCGAATGAGGAATCGACTTGTGGTTGCCCATTACGCTTTTGTATGCCGTTGACCGGTTGTCCGAACCAATTTTGATCTATATATTTACATTAAACGATAAAAAAAAGTATACAACAGTAATATGAAATACTCTTATCTCGCCATCGTCCACTTGAACCTGCCCTTTTTGTCATTTCAATCAAGGGTTTGGCAATCATCCCATAGTCCATGGCAAACTTCCGTTAGTAGCCTGTCAGCCCAAAAAATCCATGAAATTTTTTCCAACCCTTCAACTTTGGCCAATATTTCATTGCCTTGATCTTCTTGGGGTCAACTTTCACACCCCCATAAGAAATTATATGACCAGGTACTCCACCGTAATTTAGTCAAACGGACACTTTGACGGTTTGATGTTACTCATTTTTTTCCAAAATCCTCAAGACCAACCTCAAATGCTCAATGTGCTCCTCCGAGTTTTTTGAATAAATTAATATATCATCAAAGAACACCAATACAAATCTACGTAAGAACTCTTGAAATATGGAGTTCGTGGAAAATTGAAAGCTCAATGGAGCATTACAAAACCTAAAAGACATTGCCAAGTACTTGTAGTTCCCTTGTTGAGTGCGAAAAGTGATCTTCGGGAACCTTTTTTGCCACTCTGATTTGGTGGAATCCGGCCTGTCGATCCAATTTGGAAAAGTAGCGCAACCTCTCTTGTTCGTCGAGCATGTCATTGATAAATACTAATTGGCCAAAAATATTAACCACCACTTGCATCGCGCATACACTTTACTAATATAATAAAGAATACACAATAAAATAGTGATACCAAAACTAGGTTCAGAGAATACACGATATAGAACTAACAACTTTTACTTTCGCTTTTCCTTTAGTAGTTGTTAACTGTCAAAAGTCCTAGAGAATCAGAATTACGGGCTCTATGCTTTGTCATTGTGTAAACTGATCATCCATCTCTGTTTTGTTTGTTTAGTTTGTTTAGGGTTCATTGAGGTGTCCCTCTTAGTCTTTCACTGTAAGGCGAGTTAGCCTGGGTCGCTCGGTTTGTACATTTGTTTTCAAATTATCTCATATACCCAGAACTAGAAATGTTGTTATATCACAATCAACATCAACTACTAATAAACAAACTTGTGTCCAAAAGATATACTTTTCACATGGAACTCCTTTACACAACACAAAAATATAGGTAGCAAGTGTTTGAATGAACTCATTCCCTTTCACCTCTTTTGGAAGTTGAGGAACTTGATGCCGTAAGCGAAAACGATACAGAAAAGAATGACCCAACCTATGTGGGCCCCGGCAACCGGTCCCAAGAAGTCGTAATCGTATCCTAATGAATTCTCGAGATATTCTCTTAAAGGAATATCACCACTGCCAGGTATTTGTATAGAGTTCGTTCGGTCTCCCACCTGAGAAGTCACAAGCCCGTATATAGTCCATGCGACAGGCGAAGCCCAATAGTACCATCTCCACCATATAGGAATATCCTAAATAAAAAAGATCGATATTATTTTGCATTATATCAAAGAAAATATCAAACTCTTTTCTGTAATTCTCTAAGTGCGCGTACCGTTCTTGCAATGAGAAAACCCGAGAACAAATTCCAGAAGCTGAGGAAAAATGACATGACAATTGCAGCAATCTGGTAATTTGGGGTGACTGCCACAAGCATCATGCCGTAGGAAGTGAAGTATACGAAACACATAAATACGAAAAAGTAGAACCAAAAGAATCTATCTGCCCGCCAATCGAACCCAATCATTGAGTAAAGGAGAAGGCTGTATATGAAGGTCTGAATTGATATGTAAACTGTCTCGATTGCCACCTGCGGGAATATCAGAAAAATATTTATTACAACTTTTAGAAATATATTTAAAGGAAAGCTTAGGTATGTTTGGAGAAATTGTGAAACAGAAGATATAATCTATTACTTAATAGAATCTTACCTGAGCAAATGCATAAGGCAATGCTGAATACATCCCAGCTGCCTTTTCACGATAAAAGACTGTTCTTTCTACAGCCACAACCGACTGAACAGCAGAAGTATTTGTGCCTCCAAGAAACATAACAGCAGAGTATATGGCCCCAAGCAGGTTCATTAGATCTTGTTGTGTAGACCTGTTATCAGCAAACAAATGATTTCTAGGTAATGAGAACT